AGTGAAGGTGGCAGAGGGTGTGTCGGTGAATGCTGTGCTAGTTGCTGATATGAAGTGAAGCTGTCAAAGGGTGTGTTGGAGAATGTGCTTGTCACTGATATGGGGGTTGAAGGTGGCAGAGGTTGTGTTGGTGAATGTTGTGCTAGTTGTAATGGAGTGAAGCTGTCGAAGGGTGTGTTGAAAAATGTGCTTGTCGCTGATATGGAGTGAAGCTGTCTGAGATTGTGTTGAAGAATATGCTAGTAGCTGATATGGATTGACGCTGTCAAAGGGCGTGCTGAAGAATGTGCTTGTTGATGATATGGAGTGAAGTTGGCAGAGGGTGTATTGGTGAATGTTGTACTAGTTGATATGGAGTGAAGCTGTCAGGGGGTGTCTTCAAGAACGTGCTTATTGCTGATATGGAGTGAAGGTGGCAGAGGGTGTGTCGGTGAATGCTGTGCTAGTTGCTGATATGAAGTGAAGCTGTCAAAGGGTGTGTTGAAGAATGTGCTTGTCACTGATATGGGGGTTGAAGGTGGCAGAGGTTGTGTTGGTGAATGTTGTGCTAGTTGTAATGGAGTGAAGCTGTCGAAGGGTGTGTTGAAGAATGTGCTAATTGCTGATATGAAGCAAGCTGTCAAAGGGTGTGCTGAAGAATGTGCTTGTTGCTGATATGGATTGTAGGGGGAAGAGGGTCTGTTGGAGAATGTTGTGCTAGTTGATATGGAGTGAAGCTGTCAAAGGGTGTTTTGAAGACTGTGCTTGTTGCTGATATGGAGTGAAGATTGTCGAGGCTGTGTTGATGACTTAAGGGCTACTTGCTGATGTGAAGGGAAGATTTTTGAGAAGTAGCAAAAGTTTTTTTCGTAGAACTGCGGTCTGGTTATTCAATTGGGGCTAACGAAAAACCGTTTGCTGAACGGTTTGTCGAAACATTTCGGCTTTGTTCCGACCACTGAAAATGAGGATGACTTTTATGTTCGGGTATTTATTAATTTTTTCCTTTTTTTGCTCTTTTCACGCAAAATCAGTTACCATAAATAATCACTAGAATGTCTCGTGTAATTTGAACATTGAAAAACTCTGAAAACGTTTTCTTGGTGTTGAGAAAACACAGTTCGAAATTTTTGATCTAATTTCGAGCTAGTAAATCGAGCATGCAGGCTTACAATAGCTTATTTATGCTCAATTTAAGCCGTGAAAAATTGTTTCATTCTAGTAAAGTTAGTTTCTGAGTTTTTAGCGCAATTTTAGGAATAAAATAGTTTTAGGAATAAAACAATAAAGCATTTCTTTCGTGTTTTTTTTTGCTGTAAAAACTGTCTTCTATTAGGTCTATATCAGTATGACTGTCGAGTATGGCCAGGCTCTATTTTCTATGTTCAGACCTTTTTTCACAGCACGCAGAAAACAACTAAACTAATTTGAATCAACTTTTTTTGCATCTTTTTTTCAAGATTATGGTCGGAACATTGTGCAGCTTGTAGTTACCGGCCATCCTTTTTTCTTTGTTCACGGTTTCGACATTAATTGTTTTTTGACGATTCATGTATTGCTTCGGGCTTTGGTGGAATGGTTGACATAGTTGTCTACCTTCAAAACTAGAGACAGAGTGTACCGAGCTGTATACGATACTTGTGTCGATTTGGCTTGTTGAGCTAATTATGGTCATTGGTTGCATTTGAACTTTTGCGGGTGCTGTTTCAGGTGATCAGATAGGCGTATTGTTATCATTAGCCGGGGTGGCTACTTAAAGTTTATTTTATAATTTATTTTATTATGAACAAAGATGCCACGTGACAATACTAAACAAGTTATCCCTCTAGCGTAAAACTATCCCTCTTATCATTTTTAGTATGAAAACATAAATTTTGCACCCATTATATCAATAACCAGATCAACAGCTTGCCTTGTTTTAACTCAGAACCATTTTGAGTTGGATTTTTCCTTGGCATGCACTAGACACGTAATTAAGGAAACTGATAGAAAAGCGCTTCGGAGTTATCACAAACTGCCCATTGTTTACCTCTTTTAACTGGATCAAAATTCATTCCGGGCAAAATATAGTTCCAATGTTGAGAACGGGCTACAAAACATTTTACTAATGCAAAACATTTTACTAACGTTTGTCAATGGTCAATTTATCTGGAGCAAATTTTACAAAGTCAATACGCAGCTCATATCTTCCGTCAATTTCTTCAAAAAATGGAAGAATAATCAGAAGCTATGAGGCAAAAATACCAAGAGCTAATTAAAATAGCTTAACTGAAACTAAAATGTTTACAAACATTTCGGAAAAACAGTCCAAAACACAACCAACATTATTAAATAAGCTTCTAGAATCTACCGCGCGGCCACTAAGCCGACAACGAGTGGTAAGACGCCCATTCAGCTGACAACAAAAATATTCCATCAAAAATAGTTGTCATAAAAACATTTCGAACAATTAATAGTACACAATCGATCATTCTTTGCGCTTGAAAAGACACAAAATAAGGTAACAAAGACAGATAAAACATAAGCCGAAACCATTTATGCTAAATAAAGCTTCTTAGCGAAAAAGAAACGAAATTGAACACCAAGGAAAATATACAAAGACAGGGTCATTAGTTTTTTCAATATACAGGATTAAATTAAAAAAAATTGGCTGAGAGCACGATTAAAGTCCCCGATTTGCAACTAAGTCACAAAAACAAAAGCAGACAAGATAAGTCCGACAACTCAATTATTCCCGGAAAAAATGTTCTCAATTTCATACATACAGAGAAAAAAGTCACTAATAAAGGTTCACTAATAAAGCAACACAAAACACCTGGTTTTTTTCAAAAAACAATCAATCATAATGTGTCAAAAAACAATCATATAAAAACAATAACAAAACACAAGCATCGTTAGTATCAACAGGAAATACCAAAAAAGACTAATAACGACCTGTTGCTTCCCATTGGACAAAATGCCACACCACCGATGAAATTTAAGCAAAACTTCATACTACATTACCACTTGGAGTAGTAAACTCCAACCAGCAATGAGAACGTTTTTTATAAGGCTGTGATTACATGTTCTTTGCATATAATTTGCAATGAAATCTGCAAATTATGCATTAGAAATAGAGACTGACAATAAAACACGATATGCTCGAAAAATCATTTTGCAAATAATTGTGCTAAACATTTAATTTAAATTTCTGAAAAGAAAATTCGATAGACTTGAATCAAAGTTCAGACCTACAGTTACAAATTTCGTGGTTGAACCTTAAAACCAGCCAGTCAAAATTAAGTTTCTTGAGGCTTTGAAATAGCAAATATCATAATTGCGATACCAAAAAAAATAGGGAAAAATGAATTCGGTCGAATACGAAATCAGCAGATAATACATTAGAGCTGATGTCTCGCGATCTTTCCACTTCAGATAGACGAGCTGCTTAGAACGCCTGGCAGTTATCAGCACTGAGCGCTCACACAAACAAATCCCCAGTCAACTGGAAGGGAGTTCGCATTTCGTCGTTGATTTTGCGTTCGGTTCAGAATTCAGCAAATAGGAAATCGCTACGCACCTGTCAAGACAAATTCAAATTTTGAAGTTTTTCTTGATCTCGTGTCTTCATAATGAGAATAGACATCAAATAAACATTAAAAAACGGACCTCAAACGTTTGAAGGTTTCATGCACTTCACAAACTACAGAAAAAAAGGCAAAAATTAACAAACAAAAATCGTTAAAAAACAACAATAGAAAATGGACCAGTTTGAATGAAGGCATGCAACTATCTTAAGAACTAGTAGAAGCAACTTATATACTACAGTGAATGATACTTTGCAGCTCAATGCTTGACTTGTTTAGAATTCGTTAACGTACTTAGTCATCAGACTAGCGAAACTTAATGAGAATACCGAAAAGAAAATTTGTAAGCTTTGATCAGAAAAAGATGAATATCTGGAACGGCATTAAAAAACGTAGCCCAAGAAATTGAAAAAGTTTCAATGAAAAAAATAATGAAAAATTATAAAGCCAAATTTTTTTTTACAAGCCTTGCATGAAGTTACTTTTGAGGAAAAACACGACGAATAGGTAACAAACCGCAAAAAAGCGTGAACAATTTTTTGGAAGTTTTATCGGAAAACTCAGATGACCTAAACAAGTTTGTTCGCTTCGTTAGTCGACACTTGAAAAAATGCGATAGGCTCAATCAAAAGCTTGTGGGTAAATTGAAATCCGAATATTATTTACAGGCGGTTATAGCGAACAAGAGATGCAAAAATGCAATTTATCGCTTGGTCGCATCAACTGACAGCAAGGCATTGACGATACAACCGAGCTATAAAATTGAATGCAAAGCTCAAGTTCATTTCATAAACAGTTTCATAAAAATCACTTGCTATTTTCATCAGTTCCTTCATTTGAGTTCATTTTAACTTCCGCAAGACTTTCTCCATCTTTTACCTCCATCTTTTACCCAAATAAACATTAAAAAACGGACCTCAAACGTTTGAAGGTTTCATGCACTTCACAAACTACAGAAAAAAAGGCAAAAATTAACAAACAAAAATCGTTAAAAAACAACAATAGAAAATGGACCAGTTTGAATGAAGGCATGCAACTATCTTAAGAACTAGTAGAAGCAACTTATATACTACAGTGAATGATACTTTGCAGCTCAATGCTTGACTTGTTTAGAATTCGTTAACGTACTTAGTCATCAGACTAGCGAAACTTAATGAGAATACCGAAAAGAAAATTTGTAAGCTTTGATCAGAAAAAGATGAATATCTGGAACGGCATTAAAAAACGTAGCCCAAGAAATTGAAAAAGTTTCAATGAAAAAAATAATGAAAAATTATAAAGCCAAATTTTTTTTTACAAGCCTTGCATGAAGTTACTTTTGAGGAAAAACACGACGAATAGGTAACAAACCGCAAAAAAGCGTGAACAATTTTTTGGAAGTTTTATCGGAAAACTCAGATGACCTAAACAAGTTTGTTCGCTTCGTTAGTCGACACTTGAAAAAATGCGATAGGCTCAATCAAAAGCTTGTGGGTAAATTGAAATCCGAATATTATTTACAGGCGGTTATAGCGAACAAGAGATGCAAAAATGCAATTTATCGCTTGGTCGCATCAACTGACAGCAAGGCATTGACGATACAACCGAGCTATAAAATTGAATGCAAAGCTCAAGTTCATTTCATAAACAGTTTCATAAAAATCACTTGCTATTTTCATCAGTTCCTTCATTTGAGTTCATTTTAACTTCCGCAAGACTTTCTCCATCTTTTACCTCGATTTCCATCTTCGTTTCTGGCTCCCTTTCTTTCACCTCAACGTCTTCAACTGTTTCAGAGCTGGTTCTCGTTCTCTCTTCCCCTTTTTCTTCCCAACTGTTTCCTCCTCCTCCTCCGTATTTGGAACTAGTGCGGGGGGGCTCTGACTCAGTAGGGGCTTCACTGCTCTCCTTCTCTTTGTCTCCTCCTATGATGTCCTCTTTCGTTTTCACTTCCATTTCTTTTTTTCCTCCCTCATCGTCTCTTTCACTCTTTCTCGTTACATCAGCTTTCTTGATTGGTTGCTTTTTGGCTTTCGAACTCGGACTGCTCTTCGCTTTTTCAACTTGTTTTCCATTATTCCATTCCTTTTTATCTCCTCCTTTGCTGTCTGTTTTGCTTTTTTCACCCCCGCTTTCCTTCTCAGAGGGTTTAACTTCTTCAGCCTCATTTCCATTTTCAGCCTCCTTTTTCCCATTATTTTTCGCTTTCCAACTATTGTTCGCTACTGCATCCTTTTGCTTTCTCGAACCTACTTCACATGGCGCTTTTTTCTCCTTCGATTCACTTCCACACTTTCCAGGTTCGTGACTCGCCGACCTCTTCGGCAAAGGTCTTCTTTCTGGGGTTGCATCAGCTAATGGAAAATAAGTTGTTCTCATTAATCGCTCGTAGATTTCGATGTCTTTTTGCAGGAAGCAACAAAAAATTACCAGCTTTATCTAAACACGAAAACCCATTAAAACTATCAAATTATTCTGACAGCCCGAGTTCTGGCTGGCAAACAATTCAATAAATATCAAGTTAGCTGGCCCAATGAAAAACGACCAAATTACATACAGAAAAGAAACTCTGTAAAAATGTTATAGTTTAGGAACTTAACTGTTTGAACCCATCAACATAAAAACTAAACAGTTAAAGCTGATTCACAAAACATAATAATTACCTCATCAGGGTAATTTTCCAAATAGTATTTCGTGACTTCTAGTGCAATATGAGCTGCGTCCTCATTGGGAAACCCGTAAATTCCCGTCGAAATACAACAGAAGGCCACACTTTTCAAACTTTTCTCGAGCATTCTCTCAAAACAGGATTTGTAGCAGCTTCTCAGCAACTCTGGATGGTGTCCGATTGGTCCTACTGTGTGTATGATGTAGTCTGCCGGCAGCAGACACCCACTCGTGACCTTGGCATGGCCGGTGGGGCAGGGGGCAACGCGTCTGCATTCCTCCTTCAACTTGTTTCCAGCTGCCCGATGAATGGACCCATCCACACCTCCGCCGCCCATCAGGCACTCGTTTGCTTAAACACAACTAAAACACTCTATTGAGACAACATGTATTAGTCACTAATTCCCTTTCATCCCAATGCGCTAATAGCAGTAGCAGTAATCGGGTGCGGAGGGGAGGGGAGGGGGTCTGAGACAGTCTTCTCTTTGATACTATTTTCTGGCATCCACTTTTAGCCGACCCAACCAAAAATTGTTGTACACTTAATTGTAATGTATAAGTACACTTAAAAAGAACGACGATTTTTTGCACTTTTCATTCCTAACCTAAAAGTATAAAAAGAATGTTGGCTCAATTTAACATAAATTTTGCCTGCCTGGAGTTCAGCCGAGGAGTTACCACCTAACATAACACTGAGATTGAATAGTGTTAGGGTTCGGTTTTGATCTTGCATCTACAAAAGTTCACTCACTACAGTATATTTACCTGCATTAACAATTGCGTCGATTTCCAAATGAGTTATGTCTCCTTTATACAGACACAGCCGCTCATTTATGCCATTCCTAGACTCTTCTAAAACAGTTTAGACATTATGCGCCTGAAGGGTTACAGTAACCCGCAAGTTTGTATTACACCACCCCCCCCCCCCCAAAAAAAAGATAAAATAATCAACACACACACACACACACATACATACGACGCACCTTTTACGATAGAGGCAAGAACTGGAGAAAAAATCCGACGCCCCAAAACGGACAATCAAAACCTCAATTATCTCAACTTCACTCCATATACTTTGGAACACTATGGAAAACTACTTACGAACTTACGATAAGAACTGAACAAGCTAGAACAAAATAGAAAGGTGAAATTGCGCGAGTTATACTGATATTGAAAAGAAAGTGAAAAACGATTATTTCGACTCCCCGCGTCAAGCAGATGAAAAACAGCCAAAAACAAATAGCGTGAAAATGCGAAATTTCTAATGATTAAACTATGGATTTGAATAAAGATTCAACTGTGATTAACAAACACAGATACAAGGCTGATTTAAATTATCCTGACCAAATGATTAAGACTTGAACTTTTCAAGGACTTTCTCTCAAAATATGTTGATTTCAAACCAACAATGATGAAGACACAATTAGCTGAGTATTTCAACCTACACACGGATCGTTTTTGGTTTTTTAATCAACAAAAAATACGTCAAAATCACCGATTCATTGATGACAACACTATATTAAACTGGTAACTTCGGTGCGATGTTTGATTGAATAGAAAAGTCGAATATATCTAATTTTGGGGGAAAAACTTGCGCCCACATTTTGCATAATTAATTGAATCATGAAAAATTTGCCAAAAATTTTAAGCCAATTCTGTCTTCATAATTTATTGTTCAAAGTCAACCCGAATTGAGAAAAAAGTGTTTTAAAACTCTACAATTTAATAAGTTTGTCCGGATAAAATAAAACAGTGCTGTGTAGTACTAATCTCTAATACTCGCTCTAGGAGAAACATAAGCTAAGTAATTTCTGCAGCCTCAATCATTGCCTTAAATAAATCAACGTACTGGATTTTCAATTATTGTAAATAAAAATAGAACAAAAAGCCTTGGCTCTACATACAACAAAAAAAAACAATTACATACAAACAACTAGGACAGCCGGTGACTGTGCAAGAACCACAGAATGTCCGACGATAATCTTGAAACAAAACGCTTTTTCATGTTTTTTTTTTTCAAATTAGTATTGTCTGTGATGTGAATACTTCGCGATAGCTGGAAAGCGACTGTATGGTATGAAAATTGAATTAATGATGGTTTAGTTACTGTAAATTGCGGGTAAATAAAAATAAAAAACTATGGGAGAATTAACATGTGATCAAATTATCTTGCCATTTATAACATGTTTTGTTTGCTCCAACATTGCCGCCCCCGTTGATCTTTGATCAATCTTTTCACATTTCAGATGGAGATGAAACACTATTGTCTCTACATATCGCACTATACTCTAACACTCTATCGTCCACAAATGGATATAGCTGAAGGAGGTTGAATGTCCGGCTAATATCTTGTTCATTTCTGATTGCTTTCATTTCTTCGTCGAAAGGCTGCTCCTGAACGTCTCGTCTCGTACAGAAGAAAGGTTTCGTCCTATTTTTCGAAGCTGATTACAATCGTCGGTTTTCTTCTTCAGAAGTTTCGGGGCGAATTTGCACCTAAAGCCTGATTACAATCGTCGGTTTTCTTCTTCAGAAGTTTCGGGGCGAATTTGCACCTAAAGCTCCAATGCGTAGAGCTTTACCAAAAGATCCCCATCGTTCCAAAACGAAGATTTTTCCGCTCTTTGTCTGTCCTGGTTGCTTTTGCTGCTTGCATGGTTTCCTCCCCGCCAGCTGCCTGAGTGAGTAGGATGGTTTCGTCGAATGACAGTTTGAGCTCGTTCTTCTCTTCATTTGCTTCGAGAATTGTTGATTGTGATGAAATAGAAACTTCATTTGTCTGCAACCAAGAGGGCGCTCACCACCAAAGCTGCAAATTTTGTAATTCAGCTGCTGCTACTGGTCGCTTTGTATGATCGGCTGGGTTTTGATGAGTCCAAACGTGTTTCCACTTGTTGGCTGGCAGCATCTGTTGAACTTTGGCAATACGGTTGGCCACAAAGGTAGAGTACCTGTTTGGAGTTGATCTGATCCAAGCAAGTGCTATTGTTGAATCAATCCAGGCGCTGACATCTACCACCAACTGCAAAGTCTGGATTGACTTCAAGACACATCAGGAGCATGCAGCCCAGAATCATTGAACAAAGCTCAAAACTTGGAATAAAAACTGTCTTCCTTGGTGCAAGTAGTGATTTGGCGGCTAGCAAGGAAGTGTGGATTCCTGCGTCTGAAGTTGTTCTGGCATAGATAGCTGCTCCATTAGCCACCTCCGATGCATCGCAGAGGAGATGAAGATCGACTTGTTGAAAGCTGTCCTTGGCCAAGTAACGAGGTACTGCCAGGGAAGACAAAAATCCTAAGCTATCCATCCAGTGTTGGAATTGGTTCGCTATATGTGCCCCAACATCATCATCCCATTACAAATCCCCATCCCAAGTTTTTCGATTAGACTATTCGGCATTATCGTTACAGGTGTGACTAGTCCAAGGAGATCAAAAAATCGTCCCAAGTTGCTTGCTATCATCCGGCGAGTGATTGTGGGTCTTCGAATGCTCTCGAGCAAAGCTAATGAGCTGTTCTCAATCATTGTAGATGTGTTTCTGTGTTTCTTTCTCTTCTTTTTAGCGCGATTTAGCTGACCAGAGGATGCTGGGTGAAGTCTTGTTTGTGTTTTCTGTCAATTCAACAACTTTGGGTGAAACTCTTGATATTTGTTCCGGAAATATCTTGGGACTCGTTTGAAACGCGTCCTTGCCCTTTTTGAGGGGTTGGTTTTGGAATTTTTCACTGAAAATTTCTTTCGAAATTGATCACATTATGGCTCTTGTGAAATCGTCTTGATTTTCGCAAAATTTTTTTAGGAGGCATGCTGATGATTCTTGTCAGTGGGGCAAGCCAGTGAAGTGTGCTCATAGCCGGTTTGCTCTCGATTTTTGATTTTTTCGGTCAGAAAACTTCGTCCAAAAGTGGCCACTTTTTGGCTTAAATCGCCCTCGAAACTTGAAAAAGTATTTTTTGACTCTGATTCATGAGTAGTCGTGTTGGGTCAATCACGGTGAATGCAACTGTCAAGTTTTGGTTGCTCTTTGTTTTCTTTTTTAGCCTTTTTCAAGCGTCAGGAGTTGACCCGAGTGTGATTTACGACCTTGGCAAATCTGTCCTATAAATACTTTTATCCTTGGCAAAAATCAAGGCGATACATCGAGCATCTACTGAGGTCTGAATGCACTTGGTCCTGGTTTCCAAAGGTTCCTCCATCCTTGTCATCTGGCGGGGGAAACTTGGCCACATTTTTGACTTTTTCGGCAAAAACTGGAATTGCTTCAAAATAAAGACTCAAGACTTTTGCTGGGAATTGATAAGGTTTGTGGTGCCTTGGGGCATGCCTATAGGCTTCACTAAGCCCAATTTATCCATGCACCGTTACTGGAAACAATCAGAAACTGGATGCCAATTGAGCCCAAGAGTTTTGACGCTGTGGTCGTTTTCTACTAAGAATAACTCTGTTTTCATGCAATTTGTCGAATAAATCGTTCATGACAACCTTGATGTTGCTTGCCCAATGAGACTCTGGCGCATTATGATGGCTTGTTCCTCAGTATCTGTACCACCAATGTAATCGTCTCGCGAAATGCTAGCTTTGTCTGTTCATCTTCTGTTGTGTCGGCGGTGTCTGACAAGACTCGTATGGCGTGAAAGCTACTTGAAACTATACGGTAGATGGCACGTTTCATCCGGTACTTTTCAATTGAATCCTCTTCTTCTTTTCTCCACTAGAGCTGATGTAGATTTCTGTCTTTAGGGTGTAGTTCTATTTGCCTATACATCTTGGTGATGTCAACAGATAAGCAATTTTGAAGAATCGGAACCGGACAAGGATATTGAAGAGGTTTAGCTGCTGCTTCGGAACATACAGTAGACAATCATTCAACGACTTTCCATTTTAAGTTGAAAACAGCTCTGCACTTTGTTGTTGTTGCGTCCTTCTTCCAAACTGCACGATGAGGCATGATGTACTTCCCGACTGACAGAAATTGATCTGACAGAGGTACCTTCGCGATATGGCCAGTGTCAGTCAACTCTTGGAAGAAGTCGTTGTATTGGTCCTAGGCTGCACGGTTCTGTCGTAGATTCCTTTCATTAGAAAAGAATTGCCGGAAAGCTTTGCGTGCTGAGTGACCAATATCGGGCAACCATTCATGGTTGATTTCGTCATAGATCCCCTGTGAATTGTTGATTGGCAATCTTATCATAGCTCGTTCGTCTGGGCCATACATTGTAATCTGATCGAAGTGTCGGATACACTCAAGTTCGTTGGATGCGTGTTGGGATTCTGGAGATGGAGGAATATCTGCAATTTCCCAGAATCTGTCAAATGTGGTGGACTGGCTGTCAAGGAAGTTGATTGCATATCGTGGCGAGTGTCTTCGTGTTGTGACTGTGTGATCGGTATCAGCGACACCTGAGATTGTCCCATTAGCAGTATAGTTCCTTCCTTTACATTCCTTGACTTCATAATGTGCATGTAGACGGATTGTCCAAGCAGGAGATCAATTGTGTTGTGCGTGTCGAAAGCTGGATCTGCTAAGTCGTAGTTGCTGACATTTTGTAGGTCTGTAACTGCGATTCGGGTGTTTGGATGCTCGTGATGTTGTCCAACACCACACAAGAAACTTTGAAATTGTTGACAGATTTTGGTAGAATTGGGAGATTCATTCGACCATGGGTAGACATAGCGTTCTTCTGGTTCACTGTAATTATGCCATCCGAAGCTTCTGTTGGTTTGATGCCAACACGGTGCATGGCCTGTAGGGTAACGACATTCGTCTGAGCACAATTGTCAATGAGCGCCCTCAATTGATAAATTCGACCGTTCTGAGATCGAACTTTGACGTTTGCCGTTGGAACTTCGGTTGATCTAGAGAGCATCTATTGTCGCTGCGTTATGAGGACTGGGCTGACTAGAATTGCCATGAAGAATTGTGTGATGCTTCTTTTGACATGTCTTGAACAGTGATGTTGAAGGACAATGCTGAATGCTGTGCAGGTAGACAAGCAATTGAAGCACATCCTATGCTGCTCACGAAATTCTTTCTGATGTTGTCGTCAATCTGCATTTCGCACACTGCTATATTGGATGTCACTCATCGAAGGTTTGAACTTTACACTGTGGTAAAAGAAAAACCCTTCTTATGAGATCGGTCTTTTTTGTCAAGAACATCTGCTGCTCACGCTCTGGCTTGTGGGGTCTTGAATTCTCTGTAGTCTAAGAACACTATGATTCGATCGAAGTCAAGAGCTTCAGTCCCATCATTTGCAGTTTCACATGCCTTCTGAGATTCAGGATGAAGATTCCCGATGACAAGGAAATGCCACAAATCGTTTTCTACTGACCCTTCGAATGCCTTGATGGACTGCGAAGTCTCATTGACGACTAAGTGTAGCTGACAAAGCTGAGACACATTCTCCATTCGAACTGCAGTGAAGCCGTGAATTCGTGACAAAAACTTTCAGAAGATGACTCGATCGTTTTTGTATCTCTGCTCTAGCATTGAAGCGCTACCTCAGAGTTGCTTTCTGTCATCTCTAAAATCATGATGAGTTTGGAAGCATGGCTCGTCAAGCAACTCTTGAAATACATCAATTTTTGAACCGGTGCCAGCTTGTCATTGTCATGGACAATTGATTGAAATTGATCAATGAAGCTTAGTCAGTCAGTGAAATCGCCACTGAAGATAGGCAGATTGATCTGCGGCAACCTTGGTATAATCCTTAAAGATTCAATCTGCATAGTTGCAACAGGGTTGATGAGCTGAATTGATGCGGCTATCATTCTCTTGGCGGTTTGTAGAGTTTGGCGAGAAGCCTGCTGTGTGTTCTAACATTGATAGAATACTTGATCGTATTCTGCATCACTGGTGATAGCGTCAAGCAGCTCGTGATTAGCAAATGAGGATTGAGCCAATCAATGCTCAAACCCGGTTGTTTCATCGCTTAACTCATCTTCGTTACAATTGAGGCTAGCACAACGGTCTCTGACTTGAGAGAAATTTGCCGTTTCAGAACTCGCAGACAGTTTCTTTGAGCTCGTTCAAGCTTCTCCATAGCTGATGGAGTTAGACTTTCTGTAGTAGGCTCAGCCAGTGAGCTTAGTTTCCTTAGGTTATGAGGCAGACCACAATGAATACTTCCCGATAGCTGGAAAGCGACTGTATCGTATGAAAATTGAATTAATGATGATTTACTTTTTGTAAATTGCGAGTGAATGAAATGAACAAATTATGGGAAAATTAACATACGAAGATGGCGCTAAAAACATAATAAGCCTGCTCGCTTCCTTTACTCGCTCGAAATTCGACTACAAATCAAAAACTCCAAGCCGTTTTTTTCGATACTGGGACATATTTTGAAATTTTTAAAAAAAATTATTTGAATCAGGACTGAAATGGCTTTTGCATGATATATCACTCCATCCAATACGATTTGCGGTACAGCCCTCTCGCTCACCTCAATCGCTAGAAATGAAACCGAAAATCTAACTTCAAAACTGGTTTTTCTCGAGACAGGGAATTTTTTTAAATTCTAAACAGTCGTTCAAATAATAACTGAAAGCGCTTTCATTTGATATGTGGTACTTGGTTTTGTGTGGAAAACAAAAATAAGAAAAACGAAACACCAGAAGACAAAGTTCTTCCCCATTTTCAACGGTCGGAAGAAAAACAAAACTTGCAACCTAAGATGAACTTGCAACCTAAGATCAAGACCGGAAAAGTGTAATCGTAAGTAAAAACAAAAGGCAGAGGCGAAGCAGAGCTTCGCGCCACTTGCGATGCAAAAACTGTGAGTCAAGAAAAATTATCAAAAAATCATATTACAAAAAGATTGCTGAACCATTTTTTAAAATTACACAAGCAACAAAATCAGCCTACCTATATCTTACTTTTTCAACCTGCCTGCTGCACTGATGAAAGAACAGAATTCATAACTCTGATTTGAGTTTGAATAAGGAAATGAAAGACATGAATACCGAACAATACTATTCATTTTTTAAGAATCCTAATTAATTAGAAACACAATAAATGGGATCTGAAAAAAATAAAAACACATCACAACACTAGCGACAATGAAAAATTTCGCAAAACGTAGGAAAATTAATTCCAAAACAACTCAAAAACGTATCTTTTATTAGTTCAAATAGATCAGTAAAAAACGATTGAAACTTTATTTCAAATTATCAAAAACATTAAATTTAAATATTTCTGGTTTCCTGGCAATTCAAGCTTACCTGATTCTCGTTTTTCTATTGAAACAGCTACTTTTCAAAAGAATATGTGCTAAAAAGCAGTGAGAAAACATTTTCAATTGTTGTAGAAGAAATTTAGAGAAAAATAAGCAAAAAAAAATGCGGAACTCAATTACCTACACCAGAAAAATATAATAAAAACAGCTGATTGTACAAACAAAAGCTTAAAAGGTTAGGACCAAAGTTATTGTGCAAACTAACATCAAAAACGAAAAAAATTAATAAGAAAAAAATCGAACATTCTAATTTTTTCACTTTTTATGTTTTCACTTTTATTAAGAAGGGTCTGAGAAATTGATTTAAATTTGTCGGAAAAATTTTGTATGACTTCATCCCTTCTTTTAAAAACTAACAAGAACTAATTGAAAACAGAAATAATCGGAAAATAAGGCGAAGGAATTACAGCCGACACTCACCTGCCGAAAAAAACCGAAACTTTTTGGCAGAAAAAATACTATTAAAGGAACTCATAACAAGCACAAAAAACATATACCTAACATGCACGTGCTAAATGCATCTTTATATCTGTGCAGTGAAAAATGTGCGAACGCACGAGCGAAGTGTGTGGACAAAAAAGTTTACGGGAAGATAAAAGTCTAGTAATCGGTTGCCATACCCTTGCTTATCGCAAGGGTAAAAACATCTACTCAAATTAATGTCAGACAGAGGCTAAGCTGAGCTTCGCACCACTTGTGCAACAAAACAAGAAAGCCACGGAATCTAATTTTTTTAAATTCAAAAATGTCGAAAAAAAAATAGATCTATTAAAAAGAATAAGGCTAGTTTCCAAACAAAAAGAAGCCAGGACACTGTAATGTAGAAATCGCATCGGAAGAAAACGTATCAAGCGGTAATAAAGTCAAATGTACCCCTCGCCCTCAAACTACAACAAATTTATTCGCTCGTCACATGAAATAATATGAGGCCACTAAGCCGAAATTATAAAGGCCGAAACCTATTAAGCCGAAAAAAAACTTGACTTAGATGCGAAGCTGATCTTCACTCCACTTGCGATACAATAATCAAAAGAAAGCGCCATGACGCTCAAAAAGAAGTAAACTGAAGTTTTTCGAAGAGGTCCTAGTTAAAGTGAACTTGGGCATTCAAAAACAGGTGCAAATTCTCATCGATGTCAAAATTACTATTGGAAACTTCAAGTAAAAAAATCGGTTAAAAAGCCGACAGATTTAAAGCCGACAGCTAATCATCAGCCTGAACTTTTTGGTAAAAATTCCAATTGGGCATGTAGCGCCCACATAGGATCCACGATAGCTATTTAAGTAGCGTATGCATAGTGGGCCAGAAATATTGGAAACTAAACCGACGGAGCTTAATTCGACAACTCTTGAAGCCGAAAACCATCAGCAGAAAATCAATATCGAAATTCTATAATTACACATACAGTTGTTTGATTCTAGATATAGCAGCTACCAGTAGTAACTAGAACCATGTAGTTAAATCTGAATTTTCATGAATTTGAGCATGTCAGCATTGTCATAAGTGATTCAACAGATTTTGTTAAAGTAGCTGTTACCCTAATTGCAGGCGTAAGAAGCCGAATACAAAATTTAAGACGACTAAAAGGTGATTAAGTATCCATAGCCCCGTAATCCACACACAAAAACTTTTTTTGCTAGAAGGATGCATTATGCGGCAACTAAGTATCAAGCAAAACAGGAAGAGAAAAACAGAAAAATGACACTCTAAGAAATCGAGTTGGTATATTACAACCAATACTAAAAGTAAACTTCAAATATGCAAGATATTCAAAATGCTAACATGCCCAAAATATGCCTGTTGCTGTAAATTTGTTGATAACAGAGGCTTCCAGGAAATGAGTCCGGATGAGTTATGTGAACAAAGTTATTTACAGGAAAAAAGCCTGAGTGTTTTATTGCAATACCCTTGCTTATCGCAAGAAAACAAAAAGTATGGATTTTCTTGATACACTAATAACAGAGGCTCAAATCTTGTGGAAATAAAAATGTACATCAGAAATTGACTAAATAGCTTATCAAATAATGTTAATTACTGCTTTGAAACAGTTTAAACATCAAAAAAATTTCGTTACTCAAAAATCAATCAAGCTAGCGGAAAAAATTGTTGTGGTCAAAGCCACCTAGTCACTGAGAAAAAAAAACAGTTCAAAAAAAAGGTAGAAAGAACTACCACAAAATATTTTGATGTTTGACTCGAGTAAAAATCGAGTAGAGGAAAACATGCCACGAAACAAGTGCCCGCGTTAATACGCATTCAGACCGAAATATTTCAGCTGCACCAACAGCCGACGGAGCTTGAGCCGCCTCTTGTTAAAAAAACTGATGTTGAGCAATTAATAAGTTAATCAATTAAGAATATCACTGTTATGTACCTGTCGTGTTTTGTCTACTCCACCTTGTCAGTTGTTTTTCTGTTACAAATTTATCCCCACACAAGTATCGTTTCCTCCTCTCCTCTCTCGACTGCGCTCGTCCCTCGTGATGATCTGGAACGAATCGATTTCGGATGTTTTGAAAAAGAAAACATGTTTTAGGCCAGGGTTGCATATAGGATTTGTATTTTTTCTCGACTTTTTTTTCAGGTCGACCAAATTGATTTTCTGAGCTATCCCAAACCACTTTAAAGACCCTAATTTGACCAAATTTTCTATGCCGCAAGCAAATTTTTGAAAAGGCCAAAAAAGGCGTTTTTAAGCGCTTTTTAGAAAATATCGACCAAGAAATCGCGTTTTTCGGCGCGCGCTCCCCCCTCAAAATTAGTATAGACTGGCGCCAAAAGCGACTTAAGAAAAATTTTCAAGTCAGTCAGCCAAATATGGATAACTCAAAATAGTACAAAGGGGGCACCCTTTGGGTCGGCAGGTGGTCGAATCCCTTGGGGGTGGGGGTGGTGTCCGCCACTTTCACTAAATCCGCTACTGATATTGAATAACATACCTGAAACATGTCGTCTCATGGACGGGGGGCTGGTCATCGTTTGAGAGTGAGGCGCTGGCAAAGACTCGTTTTTGACCATGTGCAGTGCCTGTCTGCTGCCACCAGATGATTCTGCTGAGGACCCACTTTTAGGACTGGCTCCTTCCGAAGGCATTTTGGAAGCTACGAATAAGAATATACCTCGGCGAAAAGCTACACGAGTAAACATATGTAATTACGAAGTCGTCATTTCAAGATGTTCATTTTTCAGTCTAAAAATTTGAACGAAATTTAGACAGAGGCGCAGTGAAATTTCTGACTGCTTGCCATGTAACACAACACAAACATATAATTAGTAGCAAAAAGTTCGGACAGACAGAATTAATTAAAATGAGCAATCAGTGTTTTTCGACGCTTTTTTGCATGCAAAATCTGAAGCCGAACAACCTTGAATTTTTTGTCAGACCAAATTCAAAATGCGAGATTGTCGGATGTCCGATGATTATGCTAGCCTAAATTTTAAATACTGCGATGAACATCCAGATTTTACTATAAAACAGCTAGACGCTTCGGATGCAATTGCGCGCCGTGGCAACAATCTCATCCACCCCCCCCCCCCCTCCCTTCCCTTACTGTATTTACTAAATAATATCCACCCCTGTAAATAAATCAGTAAATTCGCACTAGAGCATTGTATGTAAATTCGAATTTTGCTGCATTCTGATTGGTCGAAAGTTCGCTGCCAGTAATCTAATTAACAATCTCCTCCCCTTTCTTGAAAGTGGGGATTGTTAAGTAGATCCCGTAACTCGGCTTTATGAACTTTCGATGTTATGTTCATTTCAGTTTTAATTTCAGTTGATGTCTAGACAGTTGCTCTTTTTAATTAATTCTGTTTGTCCGAACTTTTTGCAACTCTCTAAAACAATCGGAAATAACAATTATTCATAAAATTTTTAGCATAATATTCAGCATGCAATATACTTTGGTCAAAATTAGAATGACCTTGAATCAAATTTGACCTTGAGACTCTGCTTGTGATTCTGTTCATACCAACTTTTGCTTCTTTTTATTCATTGAGGTTTCAAGAAAACTTGTTAACGATTTCAAAAAAATAGCATTTATTTAACTCAGAACTTCTTGGACGCAAAAATTGATATTTAGGACTAAATCTATGTCTGAGGGTCGCCTGAAAATTCAAATTTGCATGCAAATCAGTTGATACAATACAATTTCATTAAACCTTATGAACTTACAGAACAAAGAAGGTACTGAAAGCGCTCTTACGAGGTAGTAATGAAGGATCGACTGAACTATTGCTCTACAATCGCGCGTTTATTAAATTTAGAGATTTGAAACGTCGCTGAAAAGACCGTTTAGGACTGGCTAGCTATGCCAAATGATACGATTGTAACTCCGACTTTGAGATGCCAAACATATGATTTCGAATCTGAATTTATCTTGAATGACTGGAATGATCTTGCGACCGGTGATTTTAGCAAACAGAGATTTTGAACCCTATGGGAATTTTATTTCATTCATTTTGACTGAAAATGTAACTAAACTATTTGTTTATCAATCGACTGAGGTTGAATTTTGTTTTTCAACAAATTTTGTGTTTTCGTTTGACAAGAGGTCAAAAACCGGGTGCAAGGCGACTTATATTTGATGAGAGCATATATAAATGTCAATGCTATCGTAAGAATGGAACACAGGATCTGGTGATTTTCGCTGGGTTCAAGAAATCAGGGTTTGTGATTTTAATGAAAAACTCATCTCCAAATTGCAAATAAACAAAGTGACAATCATGATGACAAACAAGCTTCTCGAATAAGTTCGGTTCGAAACAAACCAAATAGAGAGGTGAGAATAAGAAAAGCGGTCAAGGAGAGTTTTCTCGAGATGTTTCAACAAACAAAAAAACAGCCAAAACAAGAAAAATTCTCAGCTCCACGTTGTTCAGCTCACATGCGTTACAAGCAAGCATTTTTCTTGCTCTTAAAAAAGCGGTGCACCCCACCCAACCAAGTTTTTATCATAAACTACATAAGAGGAGCGACAAAAATTTAACATCTCGTTCAGATATACTTATTTTATAGTTGTGAACATTTTTCACTACACGTAACTCGAAATTCTGCAGGATTTGCCAATATCCGTTAAACCTATCACAAAAAAATCTCCTGGTTTGATCGTGTTCTACTAAATCTATATTAATGCTTTCTTTGCAGCTTGATGAACTTTTTTTTGCCAAAACGCTAGAATTAATCGACTGCTTGTCATCATCAATGTAATAATGAATAAAACACTTGAGTTTTGAGATTGTTGATATCGGATATTCAATATCAATGCATTGAATATAATATCAGACCAAATTCAAAATGCGAGATTGTCGGATGTCCGATGATTATGCTAGCCTAAATTTTAAATACTGCGATGAACATCCAGATTTTACTATAAAACAGCTAGACGCTTCGGATGCAATTGCGCGCCGTGGCAACAATCTCATCCACCCCCCCCCCTCCCTTCCCTTACTGTATTTACTAAATAATATCCACACCTGTAAATAAATCAGTAAATTCGCACTAGAGCATTGTATGTAAATTCGAATTTTGCTGCATTCTGATTGGTCGAAAGTTCGCTGCCAGTAATCTAATTAACAATCTCCTCCCCTTTCTTGAAAGTGGGGATTGTTAAGTAGATCCCGTAACTCGGCTTTATGAACTTTCGATGTTATGTTCATTTCAGTTTTAATTTCAGTTGATGTCTAGACAGTTGCTCTTTTTAATTAATTCTGTTTGTCCGAACTTTTTGCAACTCTCTATAGCATCACACTTTATGCGGCCTAAATTATCAGCAAAGTCTCTAAGTTTGAAAAGGAATTTCAAAAAACTAGATCTGTCTAGCTTTATCTGCATTTCTCCACAATAAAAATAAATTCAATCAAAACAAGCTGAGCAAATTTATTGATTGTTAAATGCTTTGACCAAAGACAACACAACTCTCTGCAAAAGAACCACGAGGCCCAACCAACAACCATAGGCCCAACATGTTTCTTCAATCAAGACGAGGCTTTTTAATGGAGCCCTCACTGTTCCGCATCATCTTAGCGCCAGGGATCTGTCTATAATGCCTCTTAATGCAAAGACGAATACAACCCAACCATAAAAGGACAATATGCGACAATATTTGCATCAAGAATCTCAACAGCGACTAGTATCGGATGCCATCTCGGTGGTTGGGTGCACCTCACACTCACACTCACACTCACACTGACACTCACACACACACAACTGCCAAATCAAATCAAAACTGGAGTCAACAAGTGAACATCGAACCAGCCAACCTCTAATGGAACCCAAATCTGCGGACTTCAATATCCTACAAATATATGCAAACGGAACACGACACTAAATTAGACAACATAACACATTACATAATTCACCACTCCATAGAATTATTATCCTTGGAAGAAACCCTGCAAAATGAATCAGACCAAATTTGAAATCCTCTTGAATTTCAGGTAAATGCCCAGATCCGATTTCCAAGAGACAAAGGACGACGAATTGCCTTCATCGCAAGCAATTAAATTAGGTATGAAAACTTAATAATTCCCCTACTAATGACGCCGACATTGAACACAATACTATTTGAATTAAACACTAAAACAGCTTCATTAATGTTGATGGAGAATACATCCATCTCACATACACCAGCTGCGATCCACCCAACCCAAAACGCCTTCCGTCAAACATCTAGAATATGAGGACTATTTTAGGAGATATCAATTTGCATAGCACGCAGTAGTCTTCAGAACTTAATAAGGACAAGAGAGAAAAATTAATGATAATGATCTTACCACTCTTGTTTTGTTTTCAATTAAAATTTGCGCCACGACCAGGGCTGTCATATTGTTAACTAAAACGTTTTTAACATGTTAACATGTTAATTATATGAAAAAAACACGTTAAAAACAAAATTGAGTTTTAAAATCACTCATTGAGTTGTTTAAAGAGAAAAGCCAGCTTTCCAGCCTTCTCGACGCCCAAAGAACTTCGGAGTTTTCCATAAGTGAGTCCGAGAGTTGAGAAACACCGCTCCAATCCTGCACTGGAGGAGATAGCATTGGCCAGTCTCGATGCATAGTCGACCAATTCTTTCGAGAATCCCAGTCGAAGTCCACTTCTCCACCAAGCTTCACTCTCGACCTTTTTGTAACCCTCAGCAAAAAGGTATTCGTTATAGGGAGGAACTTTTGCCATGTAATTTGTGAGCTCCGGCATGATATTTTCACCAGCCGTTTCACGGATGTAGTCGATGGCTTGTCTTGTTTCATCCGGATTCTGGTCCTCTCCGGCATACTTGTGATCGAGCAAATTAGCCGCTAGGACGACGGGTAGAATGGCCTGCTGAACTCGCTTAGCGACGGCACTTGCATACTGAATTGGTGCTTGTCCGGCAACATTTTTCCAGAGCTTGAATGTTTCCGACAAAGTGCAAGAATTTTTCTGCAAATTGTCCAACGTAACCCCGAATGCTTGTTTGACGCGGCATTAAACGGAGTGTTGGTTGCGATGAAATATCGAGTCACAAGGATATCGCTCTCATGCTGCCTCGTGGGATTAGTGGAGATGACATTGAGAGCTGTCTGTCTCTTCTTTGGAGCCGGCGGAGCAGATGATGTTGTAGTGGCAGAAGATGTGGATTGCTCCTGGATGTCATCGTCATCGTCCACATTCCGGCAATCCCTCATGTGCTTCTCCATGCGTGCCGCATTGTTCACAACCTCAAAACCGCAGGTCTTGCATTTGGCCCGTTTAACGCCGCCAACGATAATCTCTTTGAAGCTGTACCACACGTCTTTCTTCTGCCGCGGCATGACACAATCTGAAATAAATATTTGTTAGTGTATGACGCATGCTGTTAGTACATCATGTGTTAAAAACAATGGTACCAATAGGTGTTATTAACATGTTAAATATAGGTCTGTTAATAACACCTTGTTAATAACATGACAGCCCTGGCCACGACTCGACTGACTCTAGACTTAAAGGTGAAAGCCTGGCAATGAACGCTAACTGGAGCAATGAGCTTATATCAGGTCCCATTATGTAGCTATAATCATCACTAGTGGTGCAAAATTCGTTCCAAAATAGCCTTCGAATGTTCGTCAGCAACATTCGAACCTTTTTCGAACGTTCGATGTTTCATTGGATTTTTCTGTATTCTGGAGAATAAAACTTAAATCAATATTTAATTGAAAATTTTCCAATTTTCAAGCTGAATATTTTGCATTATTACACGATCTCCAGTAAGTGTTGTCCTTTTCTTGGTAACAACGTTTCCAGCACTTCTGGAAAAAAAACGCTCAGACGAGGCACTCAGAAAACTTTTTGCATCGAAGTAGTAAGTCTTGAATAATAACGGAGGTCAAATATTAGCGAATGCTCTAGTGCGAGAAACTTCAGAAGATTATCGTCGAACGAATATTGGAAGACTCGGTTGCATCACTCATCATCACTCTCATGTGACCCAGTAAAAACAACTCAAAAACACGCAGGTCAAAGAGTAGCGAATGTTCTAGTGCGAGAGCGTTCGGAAATTTATCGTCGAACGACAGTTGGAACATTCGGTTGCACCACTCATCATCACTGATGTGACTCAGTAAAAACAACTCAATAACACGCCTGTCAAATGATAGCGAATGTTCGCGAGAGCCTTCGGAGGTTTATCGTCGAACGAAAGTTCGAACAATTGGTTGCACGACTTATCATCACTCTCATGTGACCCAGTAAAAACAGCTCAAAAACACGCATGTCAAATAGGGAATGTTCACGAGAGTTTATCATTGAACGAATGTTCCATTATTCGGTTGCATCACTCATCATCACTGTCAAGTGACACAGAAAAAAAACAATTGAATAACACGCAGGTCAAATAGTAGCAAATGTTCGCGAGAGCCTTTGGAGGTTTATCGTCGAACAAATGTTGGAATATTCGATTGCATCACTCATCATCACTCTCATTTGACCCAGTAAAAACAACTCAACAACATGCAGGTCAAATAGTAGCGAGTGTTAGCGAGAGCCTTCGGAGGTTTATCGTAAAATGAATGTTCGATTATTCGGTTGCACCACTCATCATCACTCTCATGTGAGCCAGTAAAAACAGCTCAATAACACGCAGGTCAAATAAAGAAAACTCGCGAGAGCCTTTGGAGGTTTATCGTTGCACGAAAGTTCGATTATTCGGTTGCACCACTCATCATCACTCAAGTGAAACAGTAAAAACAACTCAAAAACACGCAGGTCAATTAGTAGCAAATGTTCGCGAGAGCCTTCGGAGGTTTATCGTCAAACGAATGTTGGAATATTCGATTGCATCACTCATCATCACTCTCATTTGACACAGTAAAAACAACTCAACAACATGCAGGTCAAATAGTAGCGAGTG